AACGTGACGGGAGAATAATATAACGCGTGTGTAGATAGTGAGTAAGTGAACTGCAGTCAGAAGTATTGTTGACGTTCGTTGATATAGCGTTGTTTTAACGTGATTGTTGAAAATAAGTGTATCGTAAAGTTGTATTCGGAAAGAATAAACCAGTTTTATTAAGTAAGGACTTGTGTCGCTAAAGTTTCGTCGGAACGAAGTTACGGAAAGTTAATTAACAAACGGAGACGTAACATTATTATTATTTTCCATGATAAATATAGCAACTGCCTAGGTCAATGACTTGTATTTATTTTTATTTTTTCAGATGCGTCTGCTTCAGAAACTTTTTTCTTTCAGGTTATGCGCTCTTATTTTTTAATATTTTTTATAAATTTACGAATTTAACACAAATATTAGTTATAATGAAAAAGTGTATACTTTTTCAAGAATAGTAATTAATGTGTCATAGAGATTAAATTAAGGTGCTTTAAAAGTATAATAAAAAGTAGAAATATTTAATCAGTACAATACCATAAAAAAAACAATAGGGTGGTAAATCGCGGGAACAGAGCTGCCATCTAGTGTATTTAGGGACTTCAACTTTACATAAAAGTGTTGATGAGTATCTGGAGATTAGGCCTAAATTTAGTGGTTAGTTTTCTGTTGGCATTTACGAGTAGATGTGCTGTTATTTATCATTTAAAATTCGTAATTAATAAGCGAACAACTTTGCGCTGAACTAGTAGAGATAACAAACCTCAAAGTTCGAATGAGTAACCATGAAAATCACACAACTTAAAGACTGTAATTTGTAGCTCCGAGTTTGAGGAAGTTGTTATCCAAATTACAATATCTTTCCACTCTCGCCGAGCCCATGTAAAAGGCGTAACATAACGAGACAGAGGGAAAAGTCGATTGTGGTGACATCTTAAAAGAAGTATTAGAACTTGCCTATCATTAGTATTATAATACTGGTATTCGTATAACCGCTGTATTACATTTTTTCTAGTAAGTACTACTGCCGAAATATTCGAGTCAAGAGATGTGAATTATTAATATTATAAAGAATAAATTTTATCTCGTAAAGTAGTCAGAAAGGATAGCTCGGAGTCGGAGTGTTCTATTTCACTTTCAGTAGTTTTTAAAACGTATTTCATTCGATACCTTAACTTAAGGCTGAAGTAAAGATGAAGACTGCCTTAATGGTTGCAGAGAAACCTTCTCTGGCTCAGTCACTAGCCAATATACTGTCAAATGGTAAAATGAAAACCCGCAAGGGTATAAACGGTGTTTGTTCAGTTCATGAATATGAGGATTTTTTCCAGTCAGAGAGGATAAAATTCAAAATGACCTCAGTTTGTGGACATGTGATGTCCATGGATTTCATTGGAAAATATAACAACTGGGACAGGGTAGACCCGGTAAGATTTTAATTGAATTCATTATTTAAAATTTTAGCTTAACAATAATTCAATGTATGATACTACCTTATAAATTTATAGTGTACTAGTTATAAAAAAATACAACCTATACTAATACTAGATTGAAATTTTATAAGAAAGGTTTTTATATGGTGCATCATAAAAATTAAAATTATATCCAAATACTATATTGTAATGTATATAGCAAGCTTTGCCTACAGTAACCAACTGGTATTAATTAAGCTTGTATGACTTAACCCAGTTTTATTATTTTTATATCATCAGCAAACAATTGAGTATAGGTTTCGTATGTTAATGAAGATAGTTGCTCATACATTTATATTTTATCATTACCATCACTTACTAAAACATTATATATTAACCTTTGTTGTAATGTGTTCTTTCATTGATTGTTGGGAAGGTTCTCTTGGATTATATAGTAAAAAAATAATGCCAAGTACAGAACACATAATGATAAAAAATTATTTTCTTTTTTATAGCCGAATTACCTTATATGCATAATTTTAAATACATTAACTTTTCAACGTGAACTCTAATTAAATGTAGGCCAAACTTCAAATACAACATTTCAATATAAACTGTGATACTTAATTAGCTTGGTTAGGTAAATATCACGTAACTCGCCAAGTAACTGAGTAGTAGAGTAGATGCAGTAGCTCTTACTACTAACACTGAATAACTTCTGACACTGACCTAACTGACTGGCACTGAACTGATTTCTTATTCATTGATTACATATTTTATCCTTTTTCTAGATATTACATGAATCTTCTCAATTTTTAGCTTTCATGAACTTCCTAGATATTGCATCATCATCATAATTAGCAACTTCCACTAACAAACAATTAAATTAAAACAATGAAAATATAGCTTAACTTTGAGGAGGCATACCTACCCCGTAGTCTAAGAAATTGTATGAATTTTTTCTGTAATAATTTCACTGATTCTTTGCAAGAAATGTGTTGGACAATTTCTCAAAAATATCAGCACATTTCGTTTATAATAATAATATAAAATATTTATTACACCCTAAAATTAAATACAGAATGTTTATTTCACCATTTTGTATATCATTGAGGTATCATATGATTATAATTATTTCTCAAGCTACAGTTAATCAACTTTCAGATTTAATTGATTTATTATTCGTATCAAATGATTAATTAATTATTGTATTATTATATACGTCATCAGTGCCACTGTTGAAAGGTTTGGCAAAAGTTTTGAACAGAGTTCACAGAATTGTGCACAAAATTCAGAGATTTTATTACATCATGGACTAACTAACATTGTTGGAGCTTAGAAGATGATACAAACTGAAGTAAATTGTGAAGAAAATACACCACTCGTTTGTAGTTGTGTAAGTGGTAACCTTACTAGGGAAAGGAAAAAAATATATCAACATTTAGAAGTGGGGGGATGAATAGGATAAAGATTTCATTTTGTGTGTGTTATATTCTGAACACAATAGGACCAATAAACATGAGTTTAACATTTGAAAAGGGCAGGCTAGAGTTTAGGCAGTTTTTTATATATATTTCTAACATGGTAGGGGGGGGGGATTGGCTTATGGAATGACTTTATGTTGGTAGCAGTGCATGCCAGCATTTTACAAGAGTTTAAAAGAGCAGTCAGTAATTTCCTGACAGTAAAGGAGGTGTTTGTTTTCAAGGGTGGGTGGGTGTGTAGAGACAGCTTTGCTGTCCATGTTTAATTCATTTAAGCTATAAATAGAGATTCAAACTTTTAGCCATTTTCTCTATAGAATTAGGGGAGGCTTAATTCAGGTGTTCACAATCGTCTATGGACACATTAAAAGGTGGATTGTTAAAGGCTGTAATATGATTACTAGGAATAAAAGAGGGCCAGGTATGGCCTAGTGATTAATATACTTGTATTGAGAGTCATAGGGTTCATTGTTCTCAGCCCATTGACATCAAAATGTGCTTTACACTTTGGAACCATAAATATTTTATAATAGTGAGGGTCATATTGCATTAAAAGAAGGAGCTGTATATGAATTGAAGTAATTATTATTTTTTATGTGAATGATGAATGATCTCAATGGATTGAATTGTTTTTTTCTTATTTTGATTTTTTATGAACTTATTTCTTTTCAGGTTTTGAATGATACATTCTAATTTACTAATAATAATAGTAATGCACAAAAGAGGGTGGATAATATCCATTTTGTTTCACATAATGAAAGTGTATCTCAAAAAGGCACTTTGGAAAGTAATTTATAATTAGAATTCAGTTATGACCATGACTGATATAAAAGCTTTGAAAGAAAAGTCTAACAAAAATAAAATGATCTTGTATTAATTTCTTGAAACTTACATTATGTGTCTTCAAGTGACTTAAGTTACAGTGTAGAATGTTAAATAGACTCTTTTGGAGCTGTTATTTACCTGCATGTCGTATATCTACATACAAGATTGATATCATCTTAGCAGTTAGTTTTGTGCATATTGTTTATTATTGTACTTCTACAGCTTTTATGCACCAGATTAATTATTTTTTTTTAAATGTGTGAATACTTCTATATTTTTATAGCCATCTAAAAATGGCATCTTTTTTGGAAATACATTCACAAAATCTATCAACAAAATATTGATTTCAAGCTTACTACATTAATTTTATTAATTGTTATTCTGTCACAGGCAGAGCTTTTTAGTGCAACCACAGAGAAGAAAGAAGCCAATCCTAAATTATCAATTCCAAAACTTCTTGAAGTTGAGGTAAGGAATTTTCTTACATTCAGTTCTTGTTTGTCAAAATTTCCAAACTTTAAAGAGAGGGTGAAATGTTGAATATTTGAGTATTCTTAAGAATACCAACTACATAAAGCTGCACTGACTGCTATGACAGTGTCCTGAACCTGGAAACATCAGAAATTTGGAAAATAATAAGAGGGGATTAAAAAGTTAGGAAAATTGCCCCACCCCCATATCAGAGCCTGCAAGAGCATGCAGATGATGCTGCTTAGCTATGTCAATTATTGGTATGTTTTAACACAGTTTGGGTAAGTTGCTCTGTTATTATATTAGGTGAACATTGTCAAATTCATTACATTTTAGATCAAATATTCTTTCTATAAATACAAAATGCAGCATTCTACTGTCTACAAAGCTCTGATAGGAAATTTCAAACAAAATAAAGAAATTATCTTGCAATGATTTTATTAAACAGTTAGAGTAGAGGAAATAATACATAAGATATAAAGTTTTACCACAAACAATTTTGATATTCATTTAGGAGGTTCTAGAGATTATGAAAACTGTAAAATGAAGTATTTTTATTCTTAGCATCAAAATTACTTTTCATTCAGACTGACTCAGTAAATAATTTATAAATGCACAGACAAGTTTTTAATAAAACTTCATTATTATAAAGCTGACTCTTTTGTGAACAACAGGCTTGTAAAGTTAACTAAAAGCTTGTCAAATTTCATGAAGAAACTTAGTACATAAAGAGCTATAGGATGTATAATTTATTGGTCACAAGGTAGTTCTAAGATTAGTCGAATCAACCAGTTTCATAGTGAAAATGTTAAATGTGCTCAAAATTACGATAACCCAAAAACATTGACGTTGCATTTAGTGAAATTAAAATACATAAACATTCTTATTGGCCAAGTCATCAAATTACTCCAGCCACATAGAGGAGATTGAATTAATCAATAAAAGAGAGAATGAGGAATTAATTTTAAAGAAGAACAAAAACCTATGTAAGAAGAGACATCCAATATGCAACAGGAAATCCAGGAGCTTTTATAAAATAAACCTTACTTTTACAGGGTTGAAGAAAGAAGTACTCAGCTTGTTCAGTCTTTTTACTTGTGGCTTTCTCATGTCTTCTTTGTTTTGTTTTTTAAACCTGACTCATTAGGAATCTATTAATGAAGTAACCTTGTAATATAATTTTGTGTTTCCTTCAGTTTCAAATTGCACCTTTTCCAAGATTATGTTTGCTTTGATGTATCACAATGAGTAAATAATCATTAACTTCTGGCCACAGCAAGCTACCTACATAGATCAAAACTATAAATTAGTCCTGGAAAGCATTATTTTTCTTAGATAATTCTACACTCAATCAATGAAAATGTGTCATTATTTTTTACCAAATTTTGTGTTTATTATTATGTAAGTTAAGTTGAAGTTTAATATTTATTTTACGTTCCTCATGTACACCAAAAGTTTGTTCATTTAGCTATTAAACGGTTTTGATGAATAATCTCGTAGATAAATTTGATTTTATATATTATTTTAGTGTACAAAGTACAGAACTTGGATATACATATACTGTTTTTTTAAAATTAGTACAAGAATTACTTGTGAAAATTGAAATTTATTCCATTTTTTGAGGAATTTAATTTACTTTATAGGCTAGAGGATGTGACTACTTAATCCTATGGTTGGATTGTGACAAGGAAGGGGAAAATATTTGTTTTGAGGTTATTAACGCAGTCAAAAATGTTATGAAGCCGACGATGCGTCGAAATGAGCAGGTGAGTTAATGTGACTTGTTTTGCTGTGATAAATTAAGGTCATATCGTGACCTCTATGCATTTACATATTGTAAAAGTCAACGGACAGAACACGGAAGACAAAAGTACACTTTTTTACAACTTATGTGATTTTATGATTAATTTGTGGTCATGATTATTGCATTCAAAATTATCTGTCTCCCATCACACCCTCATGTATTTTAATGCTTAAAAGCACTTTTTGACCGTCATTAATGAGGCATCATTCAGTTTTTGTATCTAATAGAAAAAAAACAATCTTTGTTTCAAAACAGAAATTAACATCACAGTAAACAAAGCTACAATGTAATAAAGTAATATTTGTTACTAATATATACAAATGATTGTTTTAAACAATATACACATAAGACAGAAATATAAAAATAAGTCGTAACAATTGTGTTACCTTAACTTGAAAGCAGTTTGTCAGCACTATTTGATTGATGGTATGTGTATAATAGTACATTAGTGATGTCAGAAAAACACATAGGTTCAAGAAGTCTTGATACGTAGTGATAAAAAAAAACCTATCACCTGAGCACTTTTGAAAGGTTGACCTTTCTTCTTTGGGGGCAAATTCTATAATAGTACATCGGAGTTTACAATCAAGTTCACACAAAATATGCATCAGAGACCATTGAAAGCAACATGGGGGGGGGGGGGGGTTGTTATTTTATTTCAATAATATATAGGTATTATGAGTGTGGATTATCACAAGGGGCTTTGAACAATGGGAATCGTTCCTAACAGGGCTTATCATTTTCATGAAATATAGAAAACCAGAACATCATATTTATTTTTTAAATTCTGAAGATATAGTTTATACTTTAAATACATTTGGATCCATTTTGACCATCAATAGCACTTGTGAATATATTTAAATTGTGACTGTATAGAAAGATCGTTTACTGTATTTTGTGTAGGCTGAAGGAAATAATTTTCAAACTTCAGTCATAATAATCAGTTTCTAGAAACTTACAATGCATACTTTTGCTGGTTTTTAAGTAGATGCTCACTCCAGTATTTTGTTTTAATGAGACTAGAACTGACACATTTTATTTTTTGGTTTCTAAAGCCGGTGTTTCTATTTCAGTTCTTTCTCTTCTGTTGTTAACTCCTCTTTTTTTTCATGTAAGCATGAATTTATTATCCTTGAGACTTAATCATTATTTTAATCTTGTTTTTAACCAGACGATATTTCGTGCTCACTTCAGTGCCATAACCGAACGAGACATTAAAGCAGCAATGAACAGTTTAGGAGAACCAAACGAAAATGAAGCTCGATCAGTTGATGCAAGACAGGAATTGGATTTGAGAATAGGTTGTGCCTTCACACGTTTTCAGACCAAATTTTTTCAGGTTAGTTACGTTCATTACCATTGTTGTATGGTATATTTAATTTTTTTCAGGCTAGTTAGGTTCACTAGAAATGTTATCTGATATATGTAAATCTTTTTTTAATTAATTTTTTCAGTTTCAACTTTTCACAGTCTTTAGATTGTATGAAAATAATTGGTGTTCAAGTTTCTTTTGAGGGCCCATTTTTTTGTCATTCCATGTGCCCTAAAGTTTACCATCAGTGTTTCTTCAAAATTACTGCAACACTACTACAACAGTTTCATTCATCAGACATATACTGACCAGTTTTTGAAGATTTCTTAACATCAAGTTTCCTAAGGTTTGCACACTACAACAGTAGAAATTTTTTCTATTGTTTTCATTATAGTGTCTATGTTAGCTCAGAATCTGTTTGTGTAATCAAATTTTTTTAAAGTACTTTACCTTCTCCTGGTAGGATCATACATTATGTGTACTACTTAGTTACTCATTCTTGGTTGAATGGTGAAGAGATCCGTGTAAACTAAAGAATGGTTACTTGGTTTAAAAACATGTTCTTCAGTGTCAGAGATAAATAAGGTAGAAATCTTTCGTGTCTGACTTCAAACTGATTAACTTATTATTCTAATAATGGTGAATATTTCACTGAATTGCAATGTTAGAATGTAATACCACAGTTAAGCCACTCAAGGAGAGAATGGTTTTGGCTAACCTGTATTTAAAATGTGATGTATCACATCCAATATATCTTTAGGTGTGATGTATCACATCCAATATATCTTTAGGTGTGATGTATCACATCCAATACATCTTTAGGTGTGATGTATCACATCCAATCTGCCTTTAGGTGCGATGTATCACATTCAATCCTCCTTTAGGTGTGATGTATCACATCCAATATATCTTTAGGTGTGATGTATCACATCCAATATATCTTTAGGTGTGATGTATCACATCCAATACATCTTTAGGTGTGATGTATCACATCCAATCCTCCTTTAGGTGTGATGTATCACATCCAATCCTCCTTTAGGTGCGATGTATCACATTCAATCCTCCTTTAGGTGCGATGTATCACATTCAATCCTCCTTTAGGTGTGATATATCAGATCCAATATATCTTTAGGTGTGATATATCAGATCCAATATATCTTTAGGTGTGATGTATCAGATCCAATATATATCTTTAGGTGTGATGTATCAGATCCAATATATATCTTTAGGTGTGATGTATCAGATCCAATACTTCTTTAGATGTGATGTATCAGATCCAATATATCTTTAGGTGTGATGTATCAGATCCAATACTTCTTTAGGTGTGATGTATCACATCCAATATATCTTTAGGTGTGGTGTATCAGATCCAGTATATCTTTAGATGTGATGTATCAGATCCAGTATATCTTTTGGTGTGATATATCAGATCCAGTATATCTTTTGGTGTGATATATCAGATCCAGTATATCTTTTGGTGTGATATATCAGATCCAGTATATCTTTTGGTGTGATATATCAGATCCAGTATATCTTTTGGTGTGATATATCAGATCCAGTATATCTTTTGGTGTGATATATCAGATCCAGTATATCTTTTGGTGTGATATATCAGATCCAGTATATCTTTTGGTGTGATATATCAGATCCAGTATATCTTTTGGTGTGATATATCAGATCCAGTATATCTTTTGGTGTGATATATCAGATCCAGTATATCTTTGGGTGTGATGTATCAGATCCAGTATATCTTTGGGTTTGATGTATCAGATCCAGTATATCTTTGGGTGTGATGTATCAGATCCAATATATCTTTAGATGTGATGTCTCACATTCAGTCTTCCTCAAGGTGCAATGTATCACATTCAGTCCTCCTGTAGGTGCGACGTATCACATCCAATCCTCCTGTAGGTGCAGTGTATCACATCCAATTCTCCTGTAGGTGCGATGTATCACATTCAGTCCTCTTGCGGGTGCGATGTATCACATTCAGTCCTCCTGCGGGTGCGATGTATCACATTCAGTCCTCCTGCAGGTGCGATGTATCACATTCAGTCCTCCTCTAAGTGCGATGTATCACATTCAGTCCTCCTCTAAGTGTGATGTATCACATCCAATGCTCCTGTAGGTGCGATGTATCACATTCTGTCCTCTTGCAGGTGCGATGTATCACATTCAGTCCTCTTGCAGGTGCGATGTATCACATTCAGTCCTCCTGCAGGTGCGATGTATCACATTCAATCCTCCTGTAGGTGCGATGTATCACATTCAGTCCTCCTCTAAGTATGATGTATCACATCCAATGCTCCTGTAGGTGCAATGTATCACATTCAGTCCTCCTCTAGGTGCGATGTATCGTATTCAATCTGTCATTTAATTTGACAGTGCATTCATATTATTGTTGGTGTTAAAGTGTGTTCTAGTTGTTCATGTAAAGTTAGATATATATAGATTCCAAGCTTCTGTAAAACTGATGATTCTTGGTATCATGATATTCATTGTAGATCAATTGTCTCAACCAAATTTATTTCTTCCAGCAAAATTAGCCATACATTTTTAATTTTCTATATTTTTGCAATGATCTGGAGCATCCAGTGATTACTGTTTTTGCTTCAGCTTTCTAGACCATGTAGTTTGTAAATGGATGTATAATGTCAAGACAGATTTCATCTCTTACTGAATACATGTCCACTGTCTGCTACATTTCTTATATTCTATGCCACTTTTAAGGCTTTCCATCCTGGAATTTTCTGACCACTTCTTATGCCATGGCTTGGTGGTTAGGGCACTCAACTTGCAATCTGCGGGTCACGGATTTGAATCCTCTTCATCGAACATGTTCAACATTTCAGCCATAAGGTGACAGTCAATCCCACTAATTGTTTGTAAAAGAATAGCCCAAGAGTTGACAGTGAGCCGCCATCCCTTTAGTCTATCACTGCTAAATTAGGGATGGCTAGTGCAGATAGGTTTCTAGTAGTTTTGTTCAAAATTCAAAACAAAACAAACCATCTCTTATGCTTAGTTTTCTCTTTTCATTTATTTATCAACCAAGGAATTGTAGCTAATTTAAAGACTCTTCTGACATAATAAAGTGTACTGACTGAATTTGTAGAATATAATTATTGTTATCGGGTTCTTTGCCTGAGTGGTGGAATTTAGAATTTCCTAGACAGCTCATGTACATCACCTTTACTTTTTCCCATTAGGCCTAACAGTTGCCATTGAAAAAATGTAATTAATTATCCCATTATGGATTTGATATGAATTTTTGTCTGGAGCAAGTCACTTCTGAGAGATATTTAAAAGTTTGCATATTGTTCAAGACAATGCTGTGATTCCAAAACTTGTAAAGCAAGGAAACATGTTTGGTCCAATAAGTCTGATTTTATTATTTTAAATTGCATTGTAATAGTTGTTTTACTTTAATACTTTTATGTTCTTAATTCATTTTTTATCAAATTACTATTTAGTAATTATACTGTAAAGAAATTTGTTTCCTTGACATTTTCCATTGTTTAATCTCTGCAATTTTTGAATTAATGTCCAAACTACTATTGTATTATATCGTTTATACCTTGATATTGATTAAACTGTGCTTACATTTTCTTGTTTTATTTCTCTAATTTGGTCTATGTGAATGTGATTCCTTATGTTAAGAAAAAGTATAATTATTTTATGATTCTAAACTAAATATGTTACGATTATACTTGATAAGCAGTAGGTGAGTGTAGCTTCACAGTGATTTCAGGAAATAAATAATGTCGTCTTACTAGACCTGTGGTACAGCTGTGGATTTTGAAGCTGGTAAACCAGGTTTGAATCCGTACGGTTTCACAAAATTATTTACTATATTCTAAGCCATTGTTACATTATAAGAATGATATTCGATCCCTTATCATGATTGGTGGATGGTCAGTAGCTCAAAGTTAGGGACAGCTGAAGATAGCCTTAGTAGTTTTGCCATAAATACAAAATAGAAATATAGGTTATTTTGTTTTACTAAAATAGTTTTGTTGCAGTATTAGACAAAACGCTTGTTTTATAAGATGGAAAGTAAACTCTATGTATTTGTAAAAACAGATACGTAGATGCCAAATACAGGATCTAATGGAAGTTCTGTTAATATAGATTTTAATTGAGCTGCAGCTACATTTCTTGATTTTGGATGATTAAAGACCATATTTTTTAACTTTTTTGTCTGATTGACAAGGATGTGTCTGATGAAAAATAATAGACTCGTGTAATTATGGAACGAATGAAACTTATTTGTAAGTATGTATTTTTCAAAATTAATTTCAGAATAAAAAAACACCTTTACTTTGAAGTGACAATAAATATAAAGTCTTATCATACATTTTTGACAGTTATTTTAAAATGTCTGTGATTAGGTTGAATCTGTTATGGAAATGAGCAGTTCATATTCATAGCTACTAATGATGAATCTCAGTAGAGAAGCTAAAATATTAAATTCAAACTTTTTGAGTGGGTCTGTAAGAACTATTGAAATAATTTATTTTTGTGGCTTTCCTCTGCCGATCTTGTGTTGTAGGAAAAAAAACAGTTAAAAGAAAAGAGTAGCAAAATGAGAAAGAACTCTGTTATAACTGTAATAAAGTGTATGATTTGTTTTGTAAGGTTCTTAAACTTGTATTTCAATTTCTGGCTTTACATATTAAAATATTTAGAAACGTGAATCATCTTTTTTTTTTTTAGGTGTGCACTGTAAGAGACATAACATTTTTATAAGGATGCAATAATTCCCATTAGATAAATCTTAAGGAAATTGGAATTTGGAAGTTGATGAACTGATATAATTTTAGAAAAGAAGAGCTCTTGAGTCTATCGTTTATCTGTTTTAAACAGCTTGTATATGGCTGTTATTATCTGTTACTTAACTTTATCGTACTAGAAATTATATATACTTGACATTTGTTCCATTGGTAATACAAACTTTTGACTGTCAGTGATTTTGACTAAATACCGAAATCTCTTAAAAAAATTACAAAAAAATTAAATCTTTTTGCAAACTTTGAGAGAATTTACCTTGATATCAAACAAAAGTGATTGTAATTTTACATTTTAGTCTAATCATTGTTTTTTTTTGTTTAGTTGTGATATGATAGTGTATCCTCATCTAAAGTAAAAAAAAAAAAAAAGAAGTTCCACTCAATAACTTGTCTATAAAATACCACAA